CTAACCACCAAGAGTAAGGAGGCCATACCCGCAGGTCTAGGGAGGACCCATTCATGGATAAGAGAAAGTTAGCTGCTAGAGGCTGCACTAAATCCCCAAGATCCCCCCCCCATGACCTTCTAAAACCCTCAAATGTTAGGACCACAAAGAGTGATCTTTAAGGGTGATGATCATAAAGAGGAAGATTTAAGAGACAGGGCAAAGATATACTGTACCTCGGAGGAACTGCCAGACTGGATCAGACATGGGTCCATTTGGTTCAGGACGTGGTCTCTGACACTGCCCATTACTAGATGCTTCAGAAGAAGATGCAAGAAAATCATAGTGGGCAGTTATGGAATAACCTTCCTCCTCCTAAGCCACAGCCATTAGAATTGGTTTATGTGCTGCCGCATAAGGGTGATAATCTCATTTCAAATACATATTTTATTATAACAAAAGTAAATCTCTGGACCTTCTCATTCATTTAAATGTCAGATCCATTCTGAATCCTGGTAAACTCTTAGCCCTAATGATATTACGTGGTAGTGAGTTTCACAGATCAATTATGCATTGTGTGAAAGTATTTTTTAAACCAGTATGAAATTTGTTGCCTATCAGCTTCATTGAATTTCATTCCATTTAACTGAAAAAACAGTCAGGCACTTTAAATTCTCATATGGAGCCTTCCAGGACTCAACACCTAGCACTGGGCAGGGCCAGGAATAGAGAGCTGATGCAAGTGATGTGAATAAAGCATTCCAAGGAACTCTTCATTCCCACCCTGGCATAATGGGACTCACACCCCTTTGGGGCTATGCCTTCAGAGCAGTTTGGAAAGCCTTAGCGATCCACTAAGCATAACTTCCAGTAGGACACTCCAGAGTGTATCATGTTATCACATTAGCAATAAGACAGTACATTGACATGCTGGCAAACAAGAGAATAGTTTCCAAGTCTAAACGGGAGGAAGGGGGAGAAAGGAGAAGAGGGAAATCTGAGTCATGTGTAAAGACACAGCCATACAAGAGAGCATGTGAATAGTGGAAACAAACATACAGATCACAGAGGCTGGGGGGTTTCTTAGAATGCCCTCCTTTAAATAGAACAGGGGTGTAACTTGGGCCCTGTTTTACAGCAATTTCATCACTCCACAAAGCATGCAGGATAGTGGACCACACAAGTCCTCCTTCAGTCTGAGCATCAGGCAAGTCGCATCTTATTGTGTTTATTTATTTGTAGGTATTTCTATGATGTTCATCTCCAAAGTATCTGAGCACCTCACGGGCACTAACGGAGGTGCTCAACTCCCCAGTGAGGTGGAGTAGCATTAGCCCTATATGTAGCTGAGGAAAGGAGGCACTGACTCTCACAAGTTCACACAATAAATCTGTGCAGAGCCAAAAACAGAACATAGTTCTCCTGTGTCCCAGGCCAGTGCCCTGACCACAAGATCATCCTTCCTCTCAAACCAGTCTGTAAAGAGACTTCACCTAAGAAAAGTAACATTCCTCCAATGAAGTTACAGATCTGTCTTGGATAAAACAGCAGACTTTATGCAGGGGGACTGGCTCAGAGAAAGATAGGGTGAACAGACAGCAAGTGTGAAAAATCGGGACGGGGGTGAGAGGTAATAGGAGCCTATATAAGAAAAAGATCCAAAAAAAGAGAAAGAGGATAGATGATTTCACCTCTGGGGCACTGGCCAAGTTGGCAGAAAACTACATTCACAGCTTTGTTGGTCCCTGGATGATATCAGTTTGGGAGGAGGTTCAATTCACTCCCATCCTTAGTGAAGAGGTATCCACAACATATTTGGCATTAACTGAAGCCTAGCAAATAGTCTGAGTAGAGGCCAAGGTTTAAAAGTGTCATCGTTACAGCCTGAACTGTCCTATTCAGGCGTCTTAATTTTTATCTGAAGGGCAGAATCCACAAAACTTTCAAATGTGGAGAAGGGGGCTGGGAGTCACTAACATTAACATATCTGCCCCCTTGTGACAATTCCAGCCTCAGTCCTGCCAACAAGAATACAAGGTAAGTCCCTCTTCTTGTGGTTGGCATCCTCCCTTTGCTCCACCCCCAACTCCATCTAAGAACTGACTGGGCCTCTGGGTCTCCTGCATACACTACAGCAGAAGCAGCAATGGCAGAGGGAACTTGACCAGATTAGGCAATTCTCATCACACATTCTACTGACAGCGCTAGCCCTCTGCTGCTGAGGAAGCGATTTGTGGATTGGCTGTGACCCTGCCCTACAGAATTGTCCCATGCAGCCATGTTTGAAGTGTGGAAACAAATGGAGTCCCCACAACAACCCGAAATGCCATTTCTCTAAAAATGAGTAAGGCATATTAGCAGGATGAGAAGCCCACCTGCTGCCCCCCAGGCTGCACCTCCTGATACACAAGTCAATCTCCAGGGCTCTCAAGCACCAAGTTTACTTTGAATGGAGGAGTCTCTGGCCAAGCTTGTGAAGGCCTTACACTCAACTCAACAACATTTGTGTCTGTCTGTAATGCAATAACTTTTGAACACTGCATCTGATCAACTCCAACATTTCAAGGAATGTTCTAGGTATCAATGGCCAGAACCCTATTGATTCTGGAGAAAATCGGAAAACCAAAAGGGGGAAAATGGGGGACACATGAAGCCCCGGCCATCTGACTAACACAGCCATAGCTTCAAGCACCTCTGCAACTGTCTACAGATCAAACTACTGGTTGATGGCATGCATTAAGACACAATGATAATACCCCTATGTCATATCTGCCTATCCTCTCAGTAGAGTTTAGCCTGTTAACACTTTAAATGACATCTCACAGACAGACAGAAAAATGGTGTGGGAGAAGGGGAAATGGGAGTGCCCTCAGAGCTCCTGGTTTGGGGAGGAAATTGGGGTCCCTGATATGGGGAAGGGAGGAATGGGGCACATAGAACACAAGGCAGAGAGAGACTGGTGTACCCCAGTATGGGGAGAGGGGGACAGGGGCACAGAGCCCCTGGCACAGGAAGCACATGAGAATGGGGGGCACACAGAAACGTTGTCTTGAGGGGATATTGGGAGATCCTGGCACATGGCACAGAAGGAAATGGAGGGGAACACAAAGCCCCTGCTGTGGGGGTAAGGAGAAAATGTGGGACACTAACAGACCCAAGCATGAAGAAGGGGTTAAGGGGCTTTGCAGGGTGTCCCCGAAATAGAGGGGACAGGAAGGTGGCATACAAGGAGTTTGTGGGGGCAAAAGGAGGGATGCAAGAAGCCTCCAGTGTGTGTAATAATCTCATCTTGCACAAATTATGAAGCATGTGGCCTGCTAGTTAGGGCTACTGGGTAGAGCACAATCATGGGTTTAGTCGATCCCATTTATTCTGCCATTACTGAGTGATTGTCTTTGCTCAACCATTTAAAGCACCCATAAGGCAAGGAAAGCCAACTGCCACAATCCTATATTACACGCAGCTCCTGATACCACACACTCTCCAGTGGATACCCACCACCATGCCAAAGTGTGGTGCATCAGTTACCCACCCTGAACACAAGGGGCAGATCCTCAATGAGAAGCACACCCTTCCCAAACTCCTGGGCCCTTTTGCACTCTGTGCCACCCAGGTGCCATTTAGGAAGACAGGAAAAAGATAAAAATTCGGGGTTTGAAATCTGGAAAAAAGAAAAAGCAACTGGCAGAGAGCCACAGCTACTCGGCACAGTATGATTGTAATGCATCTTTGTACAGAGGCAACAGGTCCCAGCAGTAACATCCCTTCTTGATCACCAAGTGGCTCAATGATATTAAAGATGAAGGTAGTCACAGTCTGCATTGCGGAACTCTATAGGCCACATCTGGCAACCCAGAGTGTGTTCCCAGTATATTATATGAGCCACATGGCTGCCTATAAAGAGAGCTAAAAGCAAAGAGACTCCTGATGCTGCAGGTTACACCAGTGAGATTAAATGCTGACCTTACACTCTGAATCTGGTATGCACAGAACACCGTTTAGGTACAGGTACCTAATACTTTCTGTACAGATTGAGTAACAGATAGAAACAGAAAGGAAGTTTACATTGAAAGTGACTCAAGGGGAAAGGAGTGAGGAAGGGCAGCACAAGTCAAAAAACTACATAAATAGTGAACAGCCCATCCTCAACTTGATCTCCACACATTCCTTACCCCACTGCAGGCAAGCTCAGACGTGCACTTGCCTTGGCATTAGGGGATCACCTAAAACATAGATGCAAAGATTTACTAGAAGGAATTACCTGGCAGATTAGGGAATTACTAAAATTACCTAATTTGAGACATCACAATTCTCACAAGAGGCCATGTGTGCACTATGGGCGCTACATGCAGCTATGCCACTGCAGCGCCATAGTGTAGACACTTCCTGCCACTGACAGGAGGAGTTTTTCCATCGACCTAGCTGCATCTACACTGGGGATTAGGATGGCTCAGCTATGCTGCTCAGGGGTGTGAATTGTTAGGTTGATCCGCATTTTAAGCTCAGACCAGGCATCAAAGAGATCCTGAGGATCTGTCTGTGCAGCTCCAGCAGGGTAGAACTTTTTTTAAATTAGGCAGGGATAGCTCCAGCGCTCCCTGGACCAGCCTGGATCCAGTCCACATCGACTCATTTCAGGAGCTGTATCCACAGCTACTTCAGTACTGAAAAAGGGGGCTTTAAAGTGCTCATTTCATGGGGCACAAAGACCACTAGTACTGCCCTGGTTTGAGTTAAGCTTGTCTGCCTAGTGGCTGATCTTGAATTCTACCCAGAAACTCCCAATTTCTCTTATGAGCAGCCTGCAGTTACCATCTCTCCATCTACCATCAAACCTTGGGCCCGCTTTACATAACATGGACCTAATATGACAAGGAGGACGCCCTAGCATGCAGGACCTACAGATGGACCATTTGCTAGGTTTGTGCCTCACACATTTGCACTTTAGGATTTCAGGAATTCAAATATTGAAACGCAGAGTGTGGGCTAATGTAGCATCACCTCATTCCTGGCTTCCTTACCTGCTCTCTGCTGTTTGTATCCAAGGGATTCACTTCCTCCTCCTGTGCAGCCCCTTTATATCAGCTCTGTCACTGGACTGATTCTGCAAAATACAGATCTGCAGCTTTGAGAAGCCCTGTCAGGCAAGGAGCAGTCTCATTTTGCCGGGCTGTCTTTTCAGTGGGCTCACTCCAGCTGGCCTCTCTCAGACCTGGTCCATTCCCAGCTCAGAGAAAAATCACAGCTCACTCACTCACCCTTTTGCCGATTAATGCAATTTCAGTTGGAAATAATTTTTTCCCTCTTCCGTTTACAAATCCCGGTGCCAGTGCTCAACCTTTCACTTCTTTCATACTCAATTGTCTCCCACTCACTCTCTAGACCAAATCCAGATGTGGTTCAGTATCATTTGCTCAGCTCTGCTGTTCTCTAAACTTTCCTTGTTCTTGGGATCTGTTCAGATTCACTAACTTCCTTGCAGAAAGTCTCTTGGATGATGCCTGGTGCCAGGGAGGGTCTCTAGGTTGGTAAAGGATCCTCTCTCCTCCCCGACCAGATTTGGCACAGACACAGTGTAGTTCCCTCTCCCCTACTCTGACTTCTTCAACACAGTTTGGGTCTTGATCACACAAACTGTCTCAGATTTGCTTCACTTCATTTCCAATTCCAAAGCCCTCTTGTTGTGGCTATCACTGTCTCACCCCTAAACACACATAGCTCCTCATCTTTCACTCCATAAGGATCTGGTTCTGTTCAAACTTAGTTTAGACCTCTCTGGCCCACAAGCAGACCCAGTTCAGTTCTGGGATCAGTCTTCCTCGATTTCCAGACTCAACTGGGTTTAAATTGACTCAGTTCCACTGTCTTCCCCTGCAGGGTTCAGTTCCTGACCCATGCACCTCTTCTACCCCCAATTCAGCTCTGGCCTGTCCTGGCCCCTGCAGCCCAGGGGTGATTGTCTGGTTCTGATACAGTTTTCCTCCCTGAGCTCACATCTCCCAGTTCTGTTCTGACCAAGTTGGGCCCAGCTCCCCCAACACCAATGTGACTTTACAGTTAGCTCTGCCTGTTTCCCTCCCCTTTAGCCCGAGGGCGACAAGCTGGGGGCAGAGCCGAACTCCTCCCTTTCTCGCGGGTCCCGGTTCGGTTCTGATCCGGACGGGGCGCTCTTTACGCTGGCGGAGCTCTGACCTGGCCAGGCTGGGCCCTATCCCAGACCGGTTCTGACCCAACTCGGACCTGAGCGCTCGGGGCCAGGTTCGGTGCCGGCGCGGTCGGGCCCCGGGCTCGGTTCTGACCTGGCTGGGTTCCCTCAACCCCCCGGGGTCCCGGTCTGGCTCGGAACCAGTCGGGCTCCGCTCCTCCCGGACTCCCGGGGACTTTACAGCCGGTTCTGACCCGGTTCGGTTCTGTCTCGGGCCCGCCCCAAACTTTGCCCCCGCTCGGCCCGGCCCCGCGCGCTCGGCTTAGGCCACCATTTTGCCGCGGGGTACGCTGGGTAATCCGGCGGAATCCCCACGCAGTGGCGTAGGTGCGTCATCGAGAGGGGGCGGGGTCACGCACGGCAGAGGGAGAGAGACGCGTGGTAGATCACCATGGCCACGGGGGGAGTAGGGTACAGAGCCTGCGCGGCTCCTCGTAGCGCGAGTCCCGGGCTCTGAGACTCGCCGCCGGGGGGGAGGGGCTGCTCTGCACACACAGGGCTGCGCTGGTGTGGTTAGAGCAGAGCAGGAGCGCCGCTGCCCACGGGGTGGTTACACCGGAGTCACCGGTAAATGCCCCATGTAGACAAGCCCTGGCAGGGAGCAGCTCACCGAGCTGGGCTGTCCCATGTTCACAAGCATCTTCCAGGTGTCGGACTGAGGCGCCTCTCTTGGTCCCGCACACGTCAGGGACCCGGCCACTGGGGGGGAGACGAGGTGGTCACGGGTGAGGCGATAGCTTTTATTGGGCCAGCTTCTGTGGGTGAGAGAGACACGCTCTGCAACCCCCTTTTTATCCTCTGACTGCAGGGGGGTTAATGGGCCGCTCTGCCTTGAATGGTCCCTTACAATATGTGCTAACTAACTTAGGCTAAACTATCCGTTCCGCCTTCCAGTTCGCTGTGACGCTAGGAGGGACCTGCGAGGCTCCACGGCTCGTCTCACTCCCAGAAGTCGGTCCACTAAAAGCTCTTACCACCTTGTCTCTCTAACAGCCTGGGGCTAACACAGCTACAACTACACTGCAGCCAGGACACTAGGGGGGGGAGGAGAGGGGCAGGCTGCTCCACCTACTCTAATTGGCTTCCCTACCCTGGGTGAGGGGAAATTCAGTGCATGTGTTTGCTCAGAGTCCCTCCCCAGACTTCCAACCCCACACCTCCACTGCCCTGTGACTACCTTAACCCTGCCCTGGAGGCTCTGCTTCCTCATGGGGAGGGGAATTCGGTGTCACTAAAACAGGGATTGGCAACCTTTGGCACACAACCTGCCAGGGTAAGCACCCTGGCGGGCCGGGCCAGTTTGTTTACCTGCCGCGTCAGCAGGTTCGACCAATCGCGGCTCTCACTGGCCGCGGTTCACCTCTTCAGGCCAATGGGGGCTGCGGGAAGCGGCGTGGGGATGTGCTGGCCATGTGCCAAAGATTGCCGATCCCTGCACTAAAACAACCTGAAGGAGGCTGCTCCTTTCTGCTTTCGCCCCTTGGCCTTTTCCCAGCTCAGAGGCGGGGGTGGGGGTGGGTCACGTTAGGGATGCTCCGAGGTTCCATAAGTCAAATGAATGGGAGGTCATGACACAGAGATATAATTCTGCTGCAGTAGAGTTGTAGTCCTGGATGGTATCACAAGCAGAATCTAAGGCACTGAAGCAATGACGCACATGTACATGCAGGAGTCTTTTCCTTGCTGAATGCAGGGCACTCTGGCCTGCATCACAAGAACAAGGGGCAATTCTGCCTCAGATATTTCCTAACGGTGTCACTTTAGCAGATGCCTGGGCCCAGATCCACAGTATCTTACCCTTGTTATGTTACTAATTCCCAACAAAAACCCTGTCTCCCCTCCCCAGAAGGCTGCACGTCAGACTTAGTCCTGGGGCACATCATAGTCTGTTGCTATGTTATGATGCTATAAACAGAGGATTCTAACCTGTATGTGGGACCACATGGGGAGGGAAAGAGAGAGGTGGAGAGTGAAAAAATCCACTTAACAAGAGATGTAGGAGAACTGTGTTCTCCTAAAAGTGCAGGGACTGAGGAGAATGGATAGAGGCAGGCAGAATGTGGGCAAGGCTGTTCGAATCGTGGGACTACCACATAGTTCTACCAGTACCCCTCACTCCTCACCTGCAACCCCCTGCTATTCCAGTCCTGCCCCCCCACAAGCTCTCTGAATCCTGACCTGAAGCTATTCCAGTTTTAGACCAGATATAATTCTGCCCATTGTCACTCACTCCTGTACTGCAGCCCTTCCCACCTCTGTTATTTTTCAGTTCTGAGCATCTCCTGAGCAGATACTGACGTGGCAAATGAACTGAGCCAAACTGAGATGAGATTTTATAAGTTGGAAAAAGCCCTCTGGGTATTTGGATGAGACCCCTAAACTTACTTCCTCTGTGACCCTGCCAGGTCCACATCTAAGTGGTGAAAGGCTTCTCACAGCTGAAGACAGGGATTCGGCAGCGTTCTGCTTCCATGACCTTGAGATTGTTGTGCTTGGGAAGAAGCTAGAACATCTGAACCACACCCAGCGGTGCCTGCTGCCCTGGGCCATGCGTCATCCAGGGATATTTCAAGAAAGCCTTCAATACTTGTGCCTCCATAAATTCTCCACATCCTCTCTCTGCACTGGAGTCAGATAACAGGCAGAAGAACAATGGCTCCAAGAATCCAGGCTGCCCATCTGCTCTGTGTTTCCAGATTCTTGCCTCCACAGCGCCAGCTGATGAAATTTTCATAGCCGAAGAGGTTTCTCATTTCCACTGGCCCTAGCTGCCTTGGAGCCTTCGCACTTGAGCCTGTCCGAGTTTCTGTGAGTATATGCTGTAGGTGACAACGATTAGAGAGCCCCTTGCTCTTTTATAGACCTAGGATCTCAAAGCACTTTACAAACATACATTAATTAAGCCTAACAAGAAGTTAAGAGCCTGATTTTCAGATATTCTGAGCACTCACCGCTCCTATTGACTCTTCTTGGAATTAATGGTGCTCAGCACTTCTCAAAATTGGACCCTAAGTGACTTCCACAGTGTCAAACAATGAATTAGAGACAGAGTCAGCAATATAACTCAGGAGTCCTGAATCCCATGCTATAACCACTATAAAACACTCCCCTCCCAAACCTCAAAACAGAACCCAGCAGTCCTGACTCCTATTACTCTACACATTATTTACTCCTTCTTGGCTCTCCTAGCCCTGTGTTTCTACAAGGTAGGCAGCAGGTTCACCCCTGCACTGGGAGCTGAGGTGTGAGATGTTGTGGGTGCATTATGTTATGTTACATTATATTCATTTATATAACACTGTTAATACCAAAGCGCTGCTCCCTGCTGGAGCCAGTTGCTCACTAAAGCTTCTGAAGTTCAATTAACAAGCACCAGGTAATCTAACACTGGACTCCCAATAATCCCTTTATTTTAAGGGGCCTCTGGCTGATGCGAAAGCCCCCGGCAAATGACCCTGGAAATACATTTGAGATTCTCTTAAATACCAGCTGAATTTATGACCCTCAGTGAAGAGCAGGAAAGAATCTCTTCAAAATACTTTCCAAGAGGCAGCACTTTATATAGACCACTGTAACAGTATAAAAGAGACCCCTGGAGGGGCAGGTGCCACCCTGTGGAGAGATGAATCCCCCTATTTAGTAAAGCATTTACAACTTTGACTGGTGATGGAGTGGATGTCAGGAGGCTGAGGAGTATTGTCTCCCCACCAGAGGGAGGCAGTGCAGGCTTAGGCCGCTCAGGTTCACAATCACCCCATGTCAAGCTGGTGAGACAGCCTGGCATCTGACTGGCTGTGCCCCACCAGGGAAGCCTGAAATAAGAGACTGACTCACTGGCCTCCAGCTTTCCTCTGTATGAAGCAAGGGATGGAGCCTCCCTGTAGAGATGTTCTCTCCTCTCCTTCCCTGGGACATCACAGGCACGCAGACGGCACTCAGGAAATACTCTGTCCCCCCTCCTGCACGCCCGTTCATTCTGGGGCAGCCTTGGCAGACTCTGGAGGGGATTCCTGGCTAGTCCTCAGCTGAAAGGCTGGGGCCTCAGCGGGAGAGGAATTCTCATGGGATGGGTCCAAAACAGGAATCATGAACAAAACCTTAGCAACATAGGAAATGCACTCTGGGGTAGGCAGGCGCAAAGGGATCCTGGTACAGTACAGCCATACAAGTAGGCCCAGTTCCTTATCTCAAAGAGCGTACAATTCAATTCAAGACAAGACTCAGCAAGGGGGTGTAACACATGATCAGTGGGAATGGGGAAGGAAGGATGAGGATAACAATGATAAAAACACGTGGTTACGATAGATTGCCTTTAGGACAACTAGATGGATTCAAGTAATTTAAACATACGTATATAGGTATATATATATTATAAAATATAAATACACAGAAATCAAATAGATCTCAATGGCCCCTCATCATCATTCGCATGACAAATCCCCTAAAGATATGGCCTCCTTGCAAATCAAGCACCACCCAGGTCAGTCACTGACAAGATGTTTCCGGTGGTCTAACTGTATATTCAGCTTATGTCCATTACTGGCAATCTTATCACGCCACTGATGTTTTTGGTCCTCATGTGATTGCTGGCCATATGTAGCAGCATTCCTTGGTACACATGCTTTGGATTTCATTGGTTTTCCATTCTAATAATATGTCCACACCTAGATATGGAACTAGTGCTTATGAAGGTGGCTGCAGGATTCAGCTTTGAACATCCTCATTTCTGATCTTGCCCTGCCACTTGATATGGAGCAGCTGATGAAGATGACAAGAACTGAAAATGTCAATCTGGTGTTCTTCAACCTTCCTTAGCAGTACATTTCAATTCCGTACAATATCACAATTCTCAGTGATCCTGACTGGCCATCTAACTAGCCAGAAAGAAAAGAACATAGCGGACCTGATTGTCTCTTGCCCTTCACCTTGTGCAGTTATTTACCCTGGTGCAGACTCAAGGAATATAGGCTCACATTAGATTTGGGCGAACTATAGTTTTAAACTGAGTTGGGGTACTAGCACGAGCAATAGGCCCAAATCATGGAACCAAAAAGAATGAGATTATGAGAAAGAAGAGTTGTGTTAAACTTGTAGTGACCCTTCAAAATACCAGACCTTGTCTATACTACAGGTTACTTCGGTATAATTTATGTTGCTAAGGGACGTGAATAATCCACACCCTTGAGTGATGTAAATTATATTGATCTAAGCACTGGTGAAGACAGCACTAAGTCAGCAGGAGAGCTCCCACCAACATAGCTACTGCTTCTCGCAGAGGCAGGAGTTATTAAGCTGATGGGAGAGCTTT